GGCGATTGAGAAAAATAGAACATGGGAATTAGTCAAACTGCCACAAGATAAACTGCCTATTGATGTGAAGTGGGTTTTCAAGCTAAAATTGAAACCTGATGGAAGTGTGGCCAAGCATAAGGCCAGATTGGTAGCAAAGGGATTCCTACAGCAGGAAGGAATTGACTATACAGAGGTTTTTGCTCCTGTAGCTAGGATGGAGACCAGCAGTAGCAAGTTATAAAGGCTGGAAGATGGTTCAAATGGATGTGAAGTCAGCCTTCCTGAATGACCCATTGGAAGAGGAGGTGTACGTTGTACAACCACCTGGTTTTGAGAAAGAAGGGAGAAAACACCTTGTGTACAGATTAAGAAAGGCCTTGTATGGGCTCAAGCAAGCCCCTAGAGCATGGAACAGGTTGATTGATGCAGTTCTAGTCAAACTAGGATTTGTGAAATGCACAGTTGAATTTGGTGTGTATGTGAAAAACACAAGTCATACAAACACACTCATTGTGTGCTTGTATGTTGATGACTTAATCATTACAGGAAATGAAGATGCAGAGATTGGAGTTTTTAAAGAAAAGATGAAGGCTGAGTTTGAGATGACAGATTTAGGAACACTGAGTTATTTCCTTGGGCTGGAGTTTGTACACACTCACAGTGGAGTGTTTCTACACCAGAAGAAATATGCACAGGAGATTTTGAAGAGATTCAAGATGGAAGAGTGCAATGAGGCTGTAATTCCAGTACTGCCTGGAGTAAAACTAACTGAAGAATATGATGCTGAAGTGGTAGATGGAACTTTATATAAGCAAATAGTAGGGTCACTCAGGTTTTTGTGTAATAACAGGCCAGATTTGAGCTATGGAGTAGGCTTAATCAGCAGATTTATGCATGACCCCAGAACACCCCACCTGACAGCTGCTAAACACATCCTGAGATATCTAAAAGGCACTACGGATTGGGGAATTTTCTTTCCAAAAGCTGATGAACAGAATGGAGCATTGCTGGAGGCATTTTCTGATTCAGATTGGTGTGGAGATAGAGTTGAGAGAAGAAGTACCTATGGTTACCTATTCAGATATTTGAACGCACCAATTTCTTGGTGCTCAAAGAAGCAAAATGTTGTGGCCCTATCATCATGTGAAGCAGAGTACATAGCTGTCTCAGAAGCAGCTTGTCAGAGTGTATGGTTAGAAGAAGTTTTGAAGGAGCTGAAGCTGGAATACACGAAACCAGTTCAGCTCAATGTAGACAACAAATCTGCAATTAACCTATCGAAGAATCCTACACTACATGGAAGGAGCAAACACATTGACACGAAGTTTCATTTTCTTCGTGATCAAGTGAGTAAAGGGAAACTGACACTGACTTATTGTCACACAGATGAGCAAACAACGGATATTTTCACTAAGCCACTGAAGCAAACAAGATTCAACAAGCTCAAGAAGAAGATTAGGATGACTAATCTAGGGTTTTTGGATTAAGGGGGGTGTTGACTATTTTTTTTGTAATCCAAAACCATATCAGAAAAAAACTGTTGGACTAACAGATTTCTAATAATAGAACCAAACACTTTAAATACTATTCATTTCATGTAAACAGTATATACATAATAAAGTTTTGATTTTTGAATACTTATCTTCTAAATCTTCTCTTCTTTTGTTATGCGTTTGACACGATCCCTGCAAAATAAAGAAACGTGATTAGTGAAACAGACAGGAGGTTAATCGGTGAAAAGAAGGAAGAAGCTGATCGGTGGTGAAGTGAGGTTCGAAGGTTCAAGATAGGGTTAACACTGCTGCAGAAGAAAGAGAAGAAAAGAAGAAGGCAGAGTGGTAGGTGAGAGTGATAAGAAGAAGTAGATATTTTCTTCGATGAATCGGGTACGGTGAATAGTAAAACGGCCCAACAATTGTTTCTTCTTTATCTTCATTAAAATGTCATATAATTATTTTTCTTTTATTTTTTTAATAACTTTTTCTATTCTTATTAATTATCTATGAAAATTATTTGCTGTCAATCTATTAAAAAATATTAATTCAAAATATAAAATTAATTAATAATAAAATTGATTTGTGACAAATTCATTACAAATTACTAATTAGTAACAAAATTTATTTATCATTAATTTGTTGAAAATGACTAATTAAAGACAAATCTTATATATCGTTAATTCGTTAAAAAAATAATTAACAATAAATCTTATAATTGTTAATATGTTAAAAAAATATTAATTACCGATAAATCTTTTTTTAACTAACGCATTAAAAAATACCTTAATCTTTTTTTTCTTCTGTATTATATCTTCTCAACTTTCTTTTAGCTATCATTAAAAATTAGTTGTCATTAATCTATTAGTAAATTAAATAGTAAAAAATTTCCTTATCGCTATGCATCCAAAATTATTGATTACCTACAACACTTGTTTATCATTAATTCACTGAAAATTACTAATCAGTAACCGATATTTTTTGTCGTTAATCCATTGAAAAATATTAACTAAGGATGAATATTATTTATCGTTAATTTATTACAAAATATTAATTTAACATTTTTTATGTTGTTCTTTTTTTCTTTCTTTCTTCTATTCCTTTTTTTTTTTTTTTATAATTTCTACTCTTCCTTTCTTTTAGTTAACTCACTGATTTATTGAAAATTTTTAATCAAAGACAAACTTTATTTGTCATTAATAATTCGTAAAATTTTTATTTGTCCTTATTATTCAAAACATTTTTTTTCTTTCATCTTCTTAATTTTGAATATAATCCATCATCTTATTCTATTTCTTGATCATTATATTTATCTATTTTCTCTATTTTATTTTTTTAGCATTTTTTCCTCTTGGCAAAAATGATCTATTATTAATATATAGATAAATAATAATTAGAAACATAAAATTAATTAGTAACAACATGTCACTAAATCATTAAAAATTATTATTTAGCTACAAAAAATTTGATTGACGCTGATATATTAGAAACTAATTAATAATTTTTTGTTGTTGTTGCTAATATGTTAAGAAAACTAATTAGGGATGGATTGTTTTTGTGGCTAAGCAATTAGGAAATACTAATTTTTCTCATGTCTTCTAATAATTCTTTTTAATTGAAATTAATTAATAATGAAATTGATTTGTTGAAGAATGTTTGAAATTGTTAATTAGCGTGAAATATTGTTCATCGTTAATTGGTTGAATAATATATTTTTTTTAGTCTTTTTCAATCATTATTTCTTCTTCTTTCATCTTAAACCTTGAATATAACTCTTCTTGTCCCATTCTTTTATTTTATTTATTTATCTATTCTTCTTATTTATTATTTATTTATAATTTTTCTCTTAAATTTTCTTCATCATTAACAAATTTTTTTTACAGCTAATCTATTGAAAAATATTTTTTTTCTTAACCTTCTTCCAATCATGATTTCTTCATCTCCTCTTAAATTTGAATATAATTATTCTTTTCCTATTTCTTTATTATTGTATTTATTTATTCTTCTTATTTTATTTTTTTATCATTTTGTTGCTTAATCACTGACGAAATTTATTATTAGTCTATCAGAAAGGACTAAATAATTATCAACGGAATAGCCGTAGATAATACATTAGAAAAATGGAATTAACTAGCGACAAAATTTGCCTCACTAACCTATCGAAATATGCTAATTAAATTATTAACAGACATTATGCCTTAATAATTTATCGAAAAATACTATATAATTATCAACAACATTTACATCTTGGTGATCCAATAAAAATGAATTAATTACCTACGAATTATTTTTTTCTTAATAATCCATATGAAAATGCTAATTTTTTATCGTTCTTTTTCCTATCACTGATTTTTCATCTTACTGTACTATATTTATTTCTTTATCTTCTTGTTCTTTAACGGTTATTATTATTATTATTATTATTATTATTATTATTATTATCTCTTTTTTCATATTTTATGTAATTATTTTTTTATTATTGTATTTATTTTTTTATTCTATTTTTTATTAATTATTTTTCCTAAACATATTTATTATTAATAATGTTGCAATTGTAAAATTACTCGCCACGACTCATATAATAAAACCCCAATCATCGGTTTCTTCTTTATTATTCAAAAAAGAAAATAAATTAATAAAACAAATTGAAAATTTTGTGCAACTTTCAGTTTCTCTTTACCTTAAAGAAATGGATTCATTACACAATGAGTGAGGTGACTTGTCATTTTACTTTGTTATAAACTTAGGTTGGTTACCTTCATTGGACCTTCGATAAACTCATATTTTAATTTATATGATACAAACATTTTTTAAATGTTATAATGTATTTATATTTCTATTCTAATAACTAATTTTTTTAATCTAATGCCATTATTCAGCCTAATTTTTTTTAATCCTCATATATATTATTAAAACGACAAAGACAGATGTAGATCTCACTTGTGATTGATTATATGGGTGCCCTTATCATTAAACACTTTCTCAATTTGTTTTTTTTTTCTTTCTTTCTTTCAAGAAGCAATTTAGAGGTTGTAACATTATGAGTTTAATAATGAATTCTTACAATCAACTTTTGCTTTTGTCCCCTCTAATTAACAAATTGCCATTGGAATATGGCTGAGGTTTTCATATAGAAGACTATTATGAACCACCAGCCAACACCCAACAACCATATTAACAGATTTTAAAAGAAAATTACAAAGTTTAATTTGTTTTAATCATCTCTAAGATAGTACAAGTGTTTCTCTTGTGGTTGTAACCAAAAATCCTAGAATAATTGCGTTGCATATGATGGGAATCTGAAGTTGCGAACCAGAGGTGGACACCAATGGAGATGTCATCATGTGAAATGATAGATTCAGTGACATGTTTGTTTGTCTTCATAGTTGACAGTGGTCAATAAGGGGTATGTTTTTTATGATGTTTTGTTTTGTCTTGTTTTGTTAGAGTAATAAGTGGTTGAGGGTGTTCTTTCCAGGCATTTGACACACACATGCATTGTCTAGTCCAGTCACCATCTCACCAATGCCGTCGTACCACCAATTTAAGTTTCAAAGTTACCTCCATGGTTTATAAACATAAACTGTGGACTCAACAAAGTTTGTATTTCTTAAATTATAATATGTGAAATAAAGTTACTATTTTTTTTTTAAGTATATCTTAAAAAGTATTTTGGATTTCTATTTAACATTCAACTGTGAAAGTTTGAGGCGTGATATTATACATGAGATGATAAGGAGTAAAAATTATTCTGAAAAAGTTTTATACTTAATTAGCTGTATCCGCAAATAAGAAAAAATCGAGTGGAAAAGACTGGATTTAATAAAATTTGAGTTGAATTTAATCTCAATTCAAAATTGCTATAAAGTAATTTTCGTTTAACAAATTTAACTAACTTAAGTTCACAACTGTTAGTTCTCACAAGCTTACAAGCTCGTAATCCTAATTTTCTTTGTTTACTTTTAAGTTTTTTTACTGTGAAAGTATAAATGTGAATAAAATAAAATAGTAACTGAAATACACAATTTCTTCAAAACCAAAGACTAAGAGAATATTATGTAAAGTAATAAGTATGTTTAAAGGACTAGAACAAGATTTTATTCAAGATAATTTACATAATTCATACTTCAAATATTTAACATAAATCTATATATATATAAAAAAAAAAACATTGTATACTCTTCATATCTCTTATTGTGAGAACTAAGGATGTTTAGTTACAACAATTAAATTAAAAATTAATGGTCCATATTTCTTATTTAATTACAAATCCCACGTTATTTTTAAAAATATATTAAAAAGCTAGATTTATATTTGAAATAAAAAGAAAACTGAACCACCTTGACCCACACTTGATCATAAATATTATTCTCCAACATTCTAAAAAATTTGAAATTATGATTGGCATACAAAATTTACAAAGAAAACACAAGTCACAACCAAACGAGACAGAGTTAGAGAATCCTGAAAAGGCAAGCTCATGATGTAATGGTACAATTACAGAGTTAGTAACCCCCACAGAGACTCAACATTTCCCATCACATTTCCACGTGCCGCACCCACGAAGATGAGAAGTAGGATTCAAAACTCATCAAGGTTATCATGATTCAACAAGAACCTCATCAACACTTCAAATAATGCATCATATAGAATATCCAAAGGTTGGTTATTCATGACTGTTGTTAAATTATGACACCGCATAACAGTTATCGATCAGAGAGTAGCAAAGAAATGAACTTCTTATTATAGTGTTATAGTGCTTTGTTATCTCACATAGATTTCCAACCAAATTTCTTGCTTATTCGCCATTTTAAAACGATTCTTATTAAAGACTAACTATAATTTCAAACAACCTTACAAAAACATAGGCGCAGAACATCTGTAGTTAAATTGTTTTTGTAAGCCATATGCATACTAACATTGACAAAATGGTTCATATCTAGTCTTTTATTCCGAGCAGAAGCTTCCTTAATAGATTGGAGCAAAATTGAGAAGTAATGAAAAGTTTGGATTGAAATTGCTAAAGAAAGAATGATGGGGAGAAGTGGAGGTTGTGAGAGAATCTAGCATGTGCATGTTTAGATTTGTTGAGGCACAGCGCACATGCATGCATGGGAGCAAAAAATTATCCCGCTTTAGCTTTGTCTTAGTTTTCAGTTGCGAGATTTTGAAATGATATGTACGATTCGGATGTGGAGAGCACCGATTCATCTAATCAATGTTTGTGGTGCACTTTGTACATCTCATATATCAACATTTGTTTATTTATTTTAAAAAGAAAGTAGAGAAATTATTGGTTTTCTGAAATTTCTTCATACTAGTTCGTTTGGAACGTTCTTACCCCGACTTACCAGTTATTGACTAACTTTTAGCAATTTTTTATCCAAAGATTGGCAAAGATGGAAGGAAAAATGTAAAGAAGCTGAAAATACTATGCCTCCATTGATTCAGAACCAGTGGCAGTTTTCTTAATACAGTATAGTTCACTGCTAAGTATAATGTAGTCTCCTAGGTACAAGATGAAAGCAATAGAAGCAAAAAAGCTACATGTAAATGTCAGCATGTAAGATATGAAGCATCTAAACTGTATTAGTATCACAGGAATTCCCAGATGGAAATTCCCTGCAGGGGGGAAGTCTGACGCATCTTCCCTCCACCTTACTATGAGCGGTTTCAATTTGAAAAGGTAGAAATACTAGATCCTCAACTCTTTCAAAGTGTACTCACAGTAACTTACATTTACACAAATCTTACTTAGGACTTCACAGAGTACTTTAATTTAGAAGAGTGCATCTCATACTTACGGGAATTCATTACAGCCAATGGTCCCTTTGATCGCTTCCTTGGCTTCTCACAGGCAAAAAATTCAAAATTGCTCCAAAATTCTTTCCTTCTGGATTTTAATAGTTTATATTACTTTCATGCATAACTACTACTAAACCCAGCTGTCTTCCTTGACCAGGACGCAAATCTTTCTGCACTTTTGCTTGGTTACCAGGCACAGGCAAGTAAAATACTATTATAATTTGATTTGTGATTTAAATTCAACTACAAAATTCTGACTATTGAAAATGAAATTAACAGGGAAAGGTGCTAAAGGAGCATCTACCTATAAAAGTTTTTATATCAATATCGGGAATCAAATTCAGAGATCCCAGAATAAGCGATGTTGCCTACGAAGCTTTATCAAAGCTAAATCTGTTCACCTCATTGGGGAGAAAGATTGGCTAAAACTGTCTTCTGAGGATCTCCCATTTGCATTTGACAAACCCCTGATATTAAAGCACCCGCAGGATCACACTGTTTCCCGATGAGGTGTGTTATTGCTCTCCTCCCGTCTTTTTTGGCTATGTTTTTTACTATAGAAACTGAACTTTCCTTGTCTTGTCGCAAACAGATGAAGTGACCACCAATCAATTGAGAAACTGGATTAACGAATAAGTCCTAGGCCAACCAAAAGTTGGCGTCTCAGTTATTGAGCATGGAAAAGAAGAAGAAAATGGGAGAATGCTAAAACAAGTGCACATTTTCCACATGCAAAATTCTGGATCAATCTATCAAAAGATTTTCAAATTCACCAATCCGGATTGTTTCATCCGAAACTTATATAAAAATATAAGTTCTGGATTCATTGATCTGAAACCTTTTTAGATTTTTCAATCTAGAACATTTCAAGATACCAACATATAAAGAATAATATTCTCTTATAAATTAGTATGGAGGTACAGGATCAACCTATGGAAATTCCGGAAGAATGAATCTATGGCCAATCAGTTTGCCAGCTGGTATTTTGCAAAAAAACGCCGGTGCTCCACAGGAAAAAGAGGATATATTGTTGGTCTATTGTTCATTTTGGCTTCAAATAGATGCTACTTTTAATTCAGGTAAATAGGGTAGAACACAAACGGCACAAAATCCAATCATCTTTACTTGACTATTGCCTTCATATTTCTACATTTGACTGAGGTGAACAAGATGAGAAAAGGTAGTTATAACAGTTGAAGTAGAAAAAAATAAAAGAGATCAATAGCTTAAAACGTGATAAATCATATGCATACTTGACAAACTATGAGGTTTCTAAAATCTACTCTATTTTTTCCTCCAATATGAACATCCTACCTCCAATCCTTATTGCAGAGGAAGCATGGAGGACGAAATTCAATCAAAGCAGCAACGGTGGAATTCCATTCCAGGATTTAAGTAATTCCCTGAAATACTTTGTTACAGTTGTCGTACAACTCTTGAGCTGACCAGCCAAACATTTTATCATTGTCTTGCTTCAACCTAATGAGCTCATTTGAAAATAATGCTCTTCATAAAGCTTATTTCCTCGGCCTCCTCTTCAAAAATTCATTGCAAGCATGAATACAACCATGAAACAAAAGAAATAGTCCAAAAACAAACGCGTTAGACATAAAAATGGTTGTTTCTATACACATGGGTTTTAGATATTCTTTCATATACTTGGGCCACTATGGTAAGCAAGCTATAAGAACACAGCACTGTGTGATACTACAAGAAAAGTGACTACTGCTTTTTCTTGATAATGAAGTTCTCCTCAGGCTGCTTTTCCCAAAAATAATTTGCAGCCTCTATCCATCGGGGATGAACCAAAAACTTATTTTCTTTCACTGCCCACCAGGACTTCTCAGTTCCAGCATCAGTAGCAACTACGTGTGTCACAGACGGGTCAACTTCTGTCAAACAAGTAGCTCCCAACTGCTCTGCCATCTTCCGCAGAGATGGTAATGCACCATGAAAAATCCGGCTGAAAATTATCACACATCCGCCCAAGACTTTACTTCGAACTGATGACAAAACCTTGAAAAAATGAATTGATTTTAAGGACCTCATTGAGGGAATCACATTAAGATTCTAAAACTAACTAAATATTTCCTTTGACATAACTAAAGCAACAAGACAAACAAATTTGAATAACATAACTACCTGCCTCACATCTCGGTCAACAAGATCATCTTGATGTTTCTACAAAGGATTACCCACCACACAATTTTAATATATCAGATAACAAACATTTAATTAGGATGACATATGACGAGTGACATACATTAAAGAATGTGCAATGTACTTGTTTGAGCACTCTGAGGATTTTTGCAAGTGCACCATCAGTCTCATCTTCATCATTCCTCAGTTCAGCAAGGGATTTGCAATTGAAACCAAACTGCCGACAACTCGAAGCAAAAAAATGGTATCTTTCCATCAGTATAAGATTATCTTTATGCTTCATCCAGGCCTGCAAAAGTAAGTAACAACATTTTCATACATCCCATTAAAAGGAGAGAATTTTAGTTCATAATTCAAAAATGACAGATGGCACCTGAAACATTAAATGGGTAGATCATAGAACATCTTAAACTGAGGTCTCTGTATAGAGAGTGAACTTCCAAAATAATTAGATTCAGTTTCAAAATAAAAAGGATCCCCTCTCGACCATAATCAGCAAAACCATTACACTAAAAAATCACAACAGAAAGGCACTAAAAAGATCAGTTGTGCCCAGTTAGAATGCCCATTTAAGTTGTCTTTACAGCCTTTTTGGGCAATGGTGCAACATCTTTAGTGACAACAAACATTCCACCATATGCTTATGGTATTAAAAAATAATGTGACTGGAAAGAACTTTAGATGCAAGCAAAGGCGATTCGTTTTTACCACAAACATGGGTATAACTTTTTTATTCATATTATAGAGTTGTATGTCATTTATTTCATTCAAATTGAAACATGTCCATGTAGAGCTAGCATGACCAAAGTTGTGATACTACAAGACTGCTTATAACGGATGAATGGAAGGCATACCCTTTAATGCTATTTGGCGATTGAAAGACAGTATTTTCTTTATGACTGAATAAATTATGAACAAAAAACCATTTGACTTTATAGAATATATATGCCAAGTCATTGTTATACATATGACTAAAAGAAAAATGTTCTAGGACTGTCTTCCACATAACACAACTATCATCAAACAAACATTTGAATTAAGTAACTCAGCAGTACAAAAATCCATAACTAGCAATGCACTCACGTGTTCTGTATCATCAAGTATTAGGACTGCACTTTCTTGCCCTAACACAACATCAAGACCCTTCTGATGCTTCTGAGTCCCATCATCTCGAGAAATAACCTTAGCATTGAAGTATTCTCCTTGAGGATCAAGTAGCTTAGCCATCTCCAATGCATACGGCCGATCACCCATAGTATATATGTACATTTCAAACATTTTGCTTGCTTCTTTCAGAAATGAGCGCACAAAGGGCCTTAGCTTGGTCATCATATGCATGTGCTCCAATTTGAAGAGGCTACCTTTGGAGACATCTATCATATCATTACATATAAATTCAGAAAGGCAACATCCATAATAAGAAGCAAAAAGAACCAAGAAAATCAAGGTATCAAACAAAAGTTATCAGAAAATAAACACAAGATGAACTACATAAAGACCTTAATTTTACAAAAAAATGCCAGACTTTAAGTTGAATCTATTCAAGGAATTCTCAACTACATAAAAAATGTCATTTTCTAAGACAGTTAGGAATTAAAAAAAGCTAGTTAAGATATTAATTAATTAGTCTTGGGGCTAGTGAGTTAAACAAATAGAAGGATGGAAATGATTCCCTCCATCTTGCATCATTGACGAATTGAACTTTGCTCCTTGTAAATGGAGCAATACTTTCTGAAGGGGAAAATCCTAGAAGGAGAGATCTCCTATTTTCCGCTCTTTCCATCCACGTGAGTGCATGTGTAATAAGGATAGCAAGTATATTACATGCTTGAAAGTTCCCAATGCAATCAACAAACACAAGATTAAAAAATATAAGACTATACAGAAAATGACTCACTCATTACCCTGCCACACACTAACAAACCAAGTCCAAAAGTTTCATAGTGCAAACATTTCCGTAACAGATTATACAATCACAGCTAAGTAGAAATATAGCAGATATCTACTGTAAGTTTTATATTATGACAAGGTTTGCACCGGCAAACTAGATTAATTGATATCAATGATGTGATTAAAACAAAAAACATTGTTAAGTAAAACTGCCGATTTAGAATACTAATACCTGCTAGAGAATCAGTCTGATTAAGCAAATATGATTCTTCTGAACTCAAATGAGCAAGGAGAGTGGAATTTAGTAGAGTGTGATCTAGGTCAAGAACAAAGTAGAGCTTTTTATGACCTAACAAACTTTTCATGTCTGTATTGCGCAATCTAGAAATTTCCTCTTCATGAAGTCTCAGTCCCTGCAAATAGCAAATTTTCCATCGTGTTTAATAAACTGTTATTTGGATAAATTAAGTAAGAAGCTAGGTTTTATCTACTATACAACCATCATGCTAACCAAATCATGAAAAGGAAAATAGGATTTTTTATCTGAAAGATAAGACATTATTCATAACACCGTCAAATTCTGGTGGCACATATAATCCATTGATTCAACTATACAATTTTATATGAATGCTCCAGCACATCATATTTTAATTCTTATAGGAATTTTAATACAAAATATATCTCAAATGAGTGGTACTACAGGTTCACCACTACACTACTACACTTTTTATTCATAATAGATAACAAACAACCATCAAACCAGGAAATCACTATTTAACATTATACAACTTATTTCAGGTTAATCCAAGGATTAAGCAAATTGAAAAAACTGTGCCAAGCAGCTGTAACAACTATCCAATTAAGTTGTAAACCCACAAGATAAACACCTGAAACAGTGGATACCTTATATGTACCCAAATGTCTATTTAATTCTTATAGGAATTTTTAATATAAAAATATATCCCAAATGAGTGTTACAGGTTGACCACAACAGTTTATATTTATAATAGATAACAACCATTAAACCAAGAAATCACTATTTAACATACTACAACTTATTTTGGGTTAATCCAACAGTTACAGAAATTGCAAAAACTGTGTCAAGCAGCAGTAACAACTATCCAAAACAAAATTTGTAATGCCACAACATAATCATCTGAAACAAATGGATACCTTATGTATGTACCCAAATGTCACACCAGATTCCCCATCCAACTTTTGCCCACAACGTATACACATACTTCCAAATGATCCAGGATGCGTACATACATCTACCTCGACAGATGCCTCTGCAACAACAAAAAAAGGTAAAAAACTTTCCAGACAAAACTGATAAAGTTGTTTAAGAACAATAATAATAGTTGTACAAACATGAGAAAAGGTTGTGCACCATCTGAGTCCTTACAAATAAGTTTACAGTCTAGTTATAGTAGGTAGAGTGGACTGCACAAGGGACTGTACTCTATAAGACATGACAGGATTAGTTAAAAAAAAATAATTATTAATGCTTCTTGGTGAAGTGGGGAAAAAATCATATTTGAGTGGAGCAAGTTACAGATGGCAATGCTAGTTAGACAAGCTTAGGTTCAAACAGTGAACTAGGTCAACAAAGATTTATACATGGATAAAACTAAGAAACACAGCACAAACTTTATTAAAAATTGATTTTCTCGCTTTAAAGAGAAACAGTAGAGTAATAATTTGTTTACTTATGCTCAGCTTCAAATGTGGTGGTAGGATTCTGGTTCCCTGCAAAGATAATGCAAGAAAGAAGTAAAGCAATCAAAATTACCTAAATTTTGTTTGATGATTCCTTCTGAAGTAGACCCCTCAGTTTCGTCAATGCTTTCAATTTTACGCCTTTTAATTCTGCTTTAATTCATAATTAAAGTATAACTTAGTGAAATTTAACCAAAAAATGAAGTAGAAAAATAAAAATAAAATTGTAGCATCATCTCTCAGAATGATATCTGCAACATAAATGCACCAAAAGCAGGGGATCCAAAATATCAATCTCGTCCTTTTGATTAATGCAAATTGGTTTAAAATACCACAGACCACAAGTAAAAATAAGATTTCACAGAAGCTGAAAATATTCAAAGCAAAACTTAAATAAAGCAGTTACTGTCAGTTATTATACAGGCATAACAAGTAGCAATATAAATTCAATAACATAGTTGACAGGTAATGAGACAAAGAAGAATGCAGCAAAGATCCCATATCCAAAAGCTTACCTCAGTGTGCGTCCAACTATCATATAAGCAATGCCACGATGCAATTAAAACCACTCGTTGTGATCTTATATGATTTTTCAAGCACAAACAATCAATATGTAAGTAGCCAAGCACTTGGGGAACTCATCTTAAAGAGCTAGCTATTAAGGAGAAAAAACAAAGTACTTAAATATTCCACTAAGCATCTCATACTATTCGATGCAAAAATTCAGCACCCCCATTATACCCAAGTTTCTATCACAATCCTAGAAAGTCATAAAATCATGAAAAACCTGTGTGAAAGAGAATGCTTCCGACAAAAAATGAAAAGGCAGAACAATGTCTGAGAGGAAAATGGTTTCAGCAACTTTGAGAGAAGTCACAGTCACTTTACCTTATTTCTCCATTAAGTTGATGGTAAATTATTTAAGTTGTTGCCCACGTGTATAAATAATTATTTAAGTTTCTGTTCACTTGTAGAAAATAAGGGAAAGCCTCAGTAACTTTCCTTCCTCAAATTCGATGATTCCGGATCCATCTGGGTGATGGCAAGGAACAATGACACATTGAATTGAACTGAAACACTGAAACAACAGACTAGAACATTGGAGGTAGTGCCAAAGAACAGACCAAGGCCATAAACACCTTGAAGGTGCCACAAAATGCATAAATGGACAGAGACAGCACCAGAATAATGAAACATGTTTCAGAGCACACAAGGGCACACCATAATTTCCAATAGGGTTTCAATTTTGAATCCTGAATAAGGGAGTGCAATCACAAAAATTGTCTACTAAAATAAACCTTAAAGAACATAGTATTGTGGGGGCAAACAGGTGTTATGCAAAATCATATAATAGCCACAACATGAAAATGAGACACGATCTGAAATGGGTAGTAGCCTAGTAGTGCAACAACAAAGTACAAATAACAACTATGACTATAATTTGTCCGAACTTGGAAGTCTGAACCAACACAAAGGTACACTTAAAAACAAAATGAACAAAACCTTCTTCAACTAGACAGGGTCAGCAGTCGGATTTCATTCCATAAAAAAACTATCCCTACAACTATATTTAAGCATCACAGTACCCTCTATCTAAAGAATGTTTAGCCCTTACACAGATCACGACCTGATATCTAAAGAATGTTTAATCTAACAAACTTCAATATATTCGAAATTTGAGAAACCAGAGTTGTCAACAGTTGCTTGACTCACTCCAGAGCACGTACAATATCATGAATAAAACAGTTTATGAAGAGCACCTGACACTCTCAAGCTCATCTTGGCTCTCAGCCTCTTTATCAGGCGAGGAGTCGGGCGAACTTGCACCAAGTTCATTATCAAGAAATGCAACGAAGTCATCACTGCTGGACGAATGCACAGGAGAATCGGCAACAACACTCATCTGCTTCATACCCATCCAACAAAACCAAAATCCAGAAACAAAGGGATCATAAAAAATTGGAAAATAAGAAAGAAATAACAGCTAGAAAGCCAAGCAAAAACAGTGTCTCAAACAAAAGGGAGTATTCTATAGAAAACCAATCCACGCAGTTGGTCCCTATCCAGAAACCAAAACTCTCGCGTTCACTAGAGGAATAGCAAGAAGTAACATAACAATAAGGAATATGAATGAATTAATGAATCCCTTGGAATTGAAAGTTTGAAAGTACCTGTGTGTGTGGATTGAATAAATAAATGGATGAAGGATGGTTTGAACAAGTTGAAGCTTTAGGTTAATTTTGTATGGAATTGCAAAATCATGTGTCAAAGAGAGGCAAAGAAACTGCAAATGTGAAGAGAGAGAACCCCAACGAACAAGGTCACCATAATGGGGTCGTAGAGAGAAGACCATTATGACCATGGATGGGGCTTTATTCAAGGCATTAGTACTGGTATGATAACTTTAGCTTGGGCCTACTCTTGTCGAATTAATTGGGTTTAAATACATTCGGATACTTCTCCACAGCCAACTTCAACTTGGGCGGGCCTACTCTTGGGCATAATGCGTCGGCTACTTTTCCACGACCAGCTTCAATATGGGCTCACTCTTGTCGAATTAATTGGGCTACATTTGAAATTTTTTATTTTTTTTTAATTTTAAAGTCGTGTCATCGTGGATGATTTTGGATTTTATTTTTTTATTCGCATTTTGTAGTATTTTAAATTTTTTTATATATTAATTTAATTATAATATAATATTATTTTGTAATATTTTTTTATTGGAAATTTTTTTTGACAATCAATATTTATAAACATATGATAGACCACTTTAAAATATTATTTTTTAGTTGATTAATGGAGATAGAATGAAATAAGAAAAATAAATAATAATATAAAAATTTAAAAGTGGATTGTTGAATGTATATTTTTGTCTTTTTGCAGTCTCAAAATATCATCATTCTTTTTTATTTAGCTTATTTTAGCAAAAAAATTAAAAATATAAGAGTAATTAATAAAATAACATATATAAATATTAATAAAAATAATTACATGATACAGAAAATGTAATACAAAAAATAATATAATGTCGAGACATATATTTGTTGTGATTCTGTATTACTATCATTATGTCATTATGTTTTTCTTTTTGAGTTGAATTATGAGATGTATGTACTGTTAGCTCTATAAGAATTCATATATCCAACTTGATGATATGTTGAACATAGTGTCACGGAAGAGGTGACAAAAATATTTGAGCTAGAAGACATCATATGGAATGTGTAAGAGACATGTCCTCTGAAATTACTTCCTCCAACTAGATTTTAAAGATGATCTACATAACCATAGAATGGAACAAGTTGGAAAGTAGATTGACCAACTTGTTGATAAGTTGACGAACCAGTTGATAATTAAATGGACCAACTTGCTAATAACTTGATTGAGTAGGTTATTGGTAACTAGATAGACCAACAACATGTGAATAAGTTGGTTGAGGTGTTTGGTGTTGTTGTTCTTCCTACGGTGTATCATACTAATGAAAAAATATAAAATTAATATTTGTAGGTAAAATATAATTAATTGAAATAATATTTCATACTTATTTCATCGTCGGTATCTTGTGTTTATTGAATGAAAACACATGGTATAGTATGTTGAAAATATCATTGCATATAAGATGTATTTTTGTGTAAATGTCCATTTTCATTTAATTTTTTACCTTGAATTAGTCGATTATGTCGTTCCATGACACAATCCAATATTGATGATACTCGTGACCAAAATATGTTTGTTTTACCCTTCATATATATTTTATGAAGCTCATCTAAATTCATTGGATCATGAGGAATATTTTGTCGTAGACCAAACTATCTCATAACTCAATCAACTTGATAAAACTTAACAAGTAGCAAAACAGATGAGAGGTACGATAATACGTGAAGCGGGAGAAACTTCAATATTTATCAATCGTTGTAGAGCACTTCTACAATGAAGGAGTCCATATAAACAACATATTAAATTAAAAGTATATTATTTAAAAATAATAATATGTGTATATAGGTAAAACAAATATATAATTGTAGAATATCTCCTTTGGTGATAATTTATCTAACATGTATCGAAGTAAGGGTATTTGACCTTTAATCAGGTCGAGATCACCTAAGATAAAAAAAATTTGTACAAAAATACATAAAAATATTCTAAGCTGAAAATAAATTACACATTATACCTTCTTGCTAGGAGAAAATCATATCTTGCATTAGCTTCTTGATTAGTTAAATCTTCAACAGGTGGACAAAGACATATAATTCGATCTTATGCCCAATATTGAAGAAGTAACATACAACATCCAATATTTTCTTTATAAGGGTCAACTCCATGGTCTAAAACTCGATAAAGACAAGCAAGCACAATCGATCCTCAACTGTAGTTAGGCACAACAGTTAGGTCTAGAAAAAGTAAAAGATACATCAAGTGAACTCGAGAAACTAATGTATCTAACATTAATAAACTTCTTATGATGCATAAAATGTGTGAACGCACATGTTAAGCAATAACATTATCGTCTACGCCATAAGAAAGTTGTTGGAATGTTGTATTCAACTAAGAAAGTTTAATTGAATTTGTTTTTTATCACTCCTTCCGGTGGAGTTAACCCAACCAAAGGTTAAAAGAAGAGATTAAATCACCATTATTGGAACCAGTAACACACTCTCCATCAATTAGAAGACTAAGTTGTAAAGCGACATCTTCCAACGTTACAATTGCTTCACCAATGGGAAGGTATGAATTTATGATCTCCATCTTTCTACTAATGTTGTTATTAAATGGTGGTTGACATCAATATTTGAAATTTTCAAGAAGGGTTGAAAACTTGCTTGTTGTATCAAATTCAATACTTGTTCATCAAGCATGTACGAATGCTTAGTTAATCATATTGCATGACTCTTGGCTGAAGTACTCTCTTGTTCCCATCCCATATTACTTTAGTGACGTGTTTATCTTGCAAACATAATAAAGACATATCTATTAGAAGATGTTGATTGACAGCCATTCTGCAAAATGGAAGAAGTAATGGATGACAGTTGGCTTGTAATGGAAGAAGTGATGAATGACAGTTGGCTTGTAATGAAAGAAGTGATGGAGGCTTGCAGATTCTCTGAAATGATGGAGAAGAAAACTGAAATGTGATGAGAAAGATAAAGTAAATAAGCTCAAGATGAGAACTGAGGGATGCATGGGTTAAATAGGCTAAGCAATGAGTAGTGCTCCAAGAGGAATTCAATGTTGGGTTAAATAAAAGTCGTGCTAGGTAGCACGACTCTTCTTGGAAGTCGTCTGAGCAAAGACTAATTTTCTTTTGACCGCGGCACGACTCCATACAAAATTCGTCTGAGCTAGCACGACTTTACTTTAAAAATAATGTGACTTGGCACGACTTCACTTTTGACCCATTGACCGCGCTTTCTCCTCTCTCAACCCCAGTTTGTCACACTTATGTGTCGTGTATAAATAGACATGTTTTGTAGCAAATTACATTCATCCAATGTGAAAAAAACACTTAGTATTTTCATATAATTTGCCAAAATGGATAGATTTTATGTTGGTTGTAATTCAATTTCATATGAAGAAGAACAAATTATACGAGATATTATTCATGATTTTGATGAAGAAGATGATGATGTATATGTTGATGGAGTATACGATAATGTGGATCATCCCCTCATTAGAAGTGGTGTGCACTAAGCATAATCTTCTAATTCAAATTCAATTATTTATGAGGGAATGATTTTCCAATCGGAGGAAACAACAGTAAGTGCAATTAAATTAAGCATTTTTATATTGAGCAAGGTTATAAATATTTTGTAGTTAAGTCAAAGTCTGATAGATATATTATTCGATATATCCATTATGGAAATGTGTGTAAATGGAGACTCAGAGCTTTATTAAGTAAAATTCAGTTATAATGAGTTGGGTGGTTAAAAAAATTGAAGCAAATCACACATGTGTTGTCTAATGTGTTATCTATTAATCACCAAAATTTAGACTCAATTGAAATTACTCATATTATTTATGAATTGGTCAAAACAAATGCTTCTATTCCTATAAAACTTTGGTTGCAAAAATTAAAAGTCGTTATGGTTATTCAATTAGCTACAAAAAAGCTTGGATATGAAAATAGAAAGCACTATTGCCATGGTTTTTGGTGATTGGGAAGAGTCATATAACCATCTTCCCATATGATTCCAAGCTATTAAAGATACTCTTCCCGGCACAATTGTTCAATATATGGTTAGTTCTTATTTTATAAATGGAGTGGAAGATTCATCATGTTATATTCTTCAGAGAGTCTTTTGGTCCTTTAAGTCATGTATTGAAGGATTCAACTGTTGCAAGTCTGTCATTCAAGTTGATGAGACATTCTTAACTAGAAGATATCATGTAACTTTATTAACAATTATTTGCATAAGATGGAAATCAAAATTTATTTCCATTAGTATTTGCAATAGTTGGAGGGGAAACAAAAGTCACTTTGATTTGGTTCTTCCAATTGTTGAAACAATATATTGCACCTCAACAAAACTTGTGTATCATAACAGATAGAAGTACAACGATATTAGTAACATTATAGTCTCAAGAGGTTGGGTGGGATACAAATCCATCAGTATTCGACATATAACTTTAAACTTCAACAATATTAAATTAAAGAGACAAATAATTAATATGGATAAATATTTACTTAACTTTTTATTTTCTTCATTAATAATTTTATTTAATAACTTTTTGGGTTATTTTATTTTTTTAGCATATGAGATGTAACAATAATGACTTCTAGCTAAATTATCTGCTATGAGATTAGAGTTTCAACAAGGTGCTTCTTGGTTGGATCAAATTTTACTAAAAAAATGGACACAAAGATACGATGGAGGAAAAAGATATGGACATATGACCACCAATTTAACAGAGTGCATGGACTCTATTTTAAAAGGAGCTCGGACCTTGCCAATATGTGCCCTGGTCAAAATCACTTTTGAAAGAATAAAATCATGATTTGTCAAGCATGACATAAAAATAGAGACCATGTTACGAGTAGGACATGAGTACCCAGAAGAGATTTTTACCTTTCTCAAAGAAGAACAACAACGGGCTGACATGTGCAAATATATACTAGGGAAAATGGTGAGTTTGAAATTCAAGAATTGTCAAACCCACAACATGGTAGATGAGCACAAAGGTATACAGTCAGATTGTATGACCAGTGGTATGATTGTGGAGAGTTTCAAGCTCTCTCACTACATTTCTCACATGTTATAGCTGTATGCTTTACATATCATTTGTAGATTAATACATATGTCGATCCAATATATAAGTTATATAGGATTTTCAAAGTTTATGAGCATCAATTTCATCCTGTGTAAGATGAAAATTATTGGTCTTTTTATATTGATTCAAATTTTATTCTCAACCCAACTATGTGACATGAACAATTATGAAGATCTACCACGACATGCATCCACAACGAAATGAATCGATCAAATCCAAATAAACCAAAAAAATATTTATTTTGTTAAAGATATTATGCACGTAAACAATAATAATATAATATATTTCACTTTTGATATTAATATAATTATCTCTTTTAATTATTGTTATAATTTCATTTATTTATTTATGAATTTATAAGCTTATAACAAAATAATTATTATAACATTATCAAAATATATAATATTATAAATATATAAAAAGATAAAAATATATAATATTATTCTATAACTAAAATAAATAAATAAAAGGTAAAAAATATAAATAATATCGATTTCAATTAATAATTAAAATAAATTTACGTATTATTAAGGACAACTTTTATTAAAAAAAATTAATAAAATCGTCTCAGGTAACACAACTTCCTTTTAAAAACACGATTTTTTTTTCATAATTAATTAATTCGTATCACATGATACTATTTACCTGTTTTCATAATTTTTTTAAAATTTATCCATATCCATAAATTTCAATTAAAATTACACCCAATAGTGAAAAAATGGGTCTCGGTTTATCTTAACACTAACTCTACTTAAATATAATTGAAAACAAAATCTTACAAATCACATGCACCACATTAAATCCCATAATTATTACATATTTATAAGTTTGTGATACTAAGTCAAAACTAAACAAAAATGAAATTTGTGTGAAAAACTTTGACATGAATACTTATAAAAAAATAAATTAAATTATATTCTTCAAAAAAATAAAAATAAAATAATATATACATACATATATATATATATATATATATATATATATATATATATATATATATATATATAAAAGTTAACAATAATATGTTAAACAAGATAAATGAAAAAATTATAAATTTAATTTAATTCATAATTTCTTCTTCTAAATGTCTATATAAAAATTTATCCAAACATACATAATTAACAATTTTGATAAAATTTATACATATTCTACTTAATTTAAGTTAAAGGATCTTGTCTCAAGTTTGTATTTATTATTTGTTAAATCGAGTTTTTCTATTTATTTTATTGATGGTTAATTGAATTTTTCTTTTATCACCAGAAACAACACAAATATCCACACATTATCATTATTATCCATTCTTCTGAAAGGATAAATTTTACAAAATTGCATATGCTTATTTTCTGTTTTTTATTTTTATTTCACTCATCTCAACTTCTAATATTAATCTAATTTAATCCAATATTTTTAGTTTAATGTAATTTATTTTAGTTTGTTCTCTCTATCATAATTTATGTTTATTCAATGTTATTCATGTAAATAAGAGATCATATAGTATGAATTAAACTTAATTTATAATATATTAATAATAACTTTGATAATTTATATATATATATATATATATATATGATAGTAATTAATTTAAAAAATGTAATAAATTTAAATTCTCTTATTAAAATAAATAATTTAAAAAATTATAAACAATTAAATTATTAATGGTACGTTTCTTTAATTTTTTCTATCATCAATTATTATATGACCCCTTACTGTAATGGTTTACAGTATCAAGCAATTTTAATCATGACATCAAATTTTTTAATTGTTGATATAATTTAAATTGTTTATAGTATGATATAATTTCACAAAAATCGAAGAACTTTAGCTTGCTGGATAAAACGGATGTGAGAGTTTCCTCCTTGACACCCTAATCATTCAACCCCATGCAGTTTACCTTCACTTTTTTTTTTTTTTTCTCCTCACAACAGAATACAATAAAGAGAGAAAAATGTTTTTGTTTGAACAGGAAATCTGGGACTTGAGATTTGACAGATTTCTGCGCCTTTTTGTTCAGTTTCACACAAGAGTTTTTATCTTCATTCTTTTGTATTTATATATATATATATATATATATATATATATATATATATATATATATATATATTTATATGTTTTACAAGAAGAAAAAATATAAATTAAATTTATTTTTAATAATTTATTGTTTTAGAAATAAAGATTTATATCTTAAAATTAATATATATTAAATTATAATAAATTAAAATAAAAATAATAATTTACTCGTGTGGTTAATGTTTGTTTTTATTGACAAATTAAAGTAACATTTACTGTTGCCCACACCACACATGAAATGATTTGTTTACAAGATATAATAAATATTTTTCTTTATATTATTTTTTCTTCTAAACAAAATAAAAAAAATTATTTTATCCAAAAATATATATTTTATGATATAATTACGTATAACTTTTACATGTATAAAAATATATAATATATTTTAATACATAATAATTATATTAAAAGATATAATTGATTATTTTATATTTTAAAAAATAAATTATTAATTAATCAAATAAAATTTTTTATTTTTTACTTTTTTTTCTTTAATATAAACAATTCACTTTCCAATTTTTTCTCTTTTTTTTCCTTTTAATCCAATCCTCAATTAATAAAAAAATTAAAAAAAATTATTTGTTTGTGTTTAAAAACAATTTTCAAAAAATATTTATTTTTAAGTGTTTTTTTATATAGTTGTTTAAGTTAATTTTTTATTTGTTTATGAAAATTAATTTTAAGTTCTTTATAAAAGAAAATTTATTATTGATTCTTAAATGATATTAGTTAATCATGTTATGAATCTCAATTATTTTATCGCAAAACTATTTTCATACCAAATTAAATAAATAAACCTATTATATATCTTTTATAATTATAACGATAGTTATGTAAAAGATTTAAGTTGAAAGATTTATATTTTGATTAATTTATTTTTTGAAACAGTTTTTAATAAAAAACTTAATTTTGAAAATAAATTAATAATTTCAAATTTTAAAACTTTTCTAAACAATAAAATGTCACAACCAATCATACATAATTATTTACTATCTTTCATGGGTTACTACACATAGCTTGAAGCAAAGTATAGAAAAATTATATATGAATCGGATGTCTTATTGAGTTTGAATCTCATATTCGAGAATTCTCTCAAATATCATCCTTGTTTAGCTCTCATCAACAATTACCTATTAGTTAGTTAATTATTTGGGTTGGAAAGTTTTTTTATGCATACTCTTAGAGAAGGTAACAGAACTATATATTGACGGGCAAAAATTACTCTTCAGATCATCCTTTCAATGGGTGGATCTCTTGCCTCTCAGATCTTATATACTTTTATTTGAGAGATGCTATGAACATACATACCGGATTTTAACTACTTTCTTATCCTTTCAAATTCTATCACTTCCTAATTTTATTTTTCAGTTGTATAAAAAAAAAAAAACTACCCGCATTTCAGTAAATGTTACTTAATCTGCGCCTTTACATGATAGTATACCATTTCAACAAACACATGTATGTAGTAACGACAGGGAAGGACTATTTCTACTAAATTTCTCAGACTGTTTCAGGCTCTCGTATTGCATTATTAAATTTATGAGACCTTGTATATGAGCCATAACTATCTCCAACTGGTCTTAGGCTGGGGGTCGTACACATTCGATAATACCGAGCAAAAAATTTCCCTTGTTTTGCGGTCACCTACTATGAATTTTAGTTTGGAAGAAAAAAAAAACATATATATAAGCTATACAAGAAGAAATCAAGCATTGCATAACAGATGTGAAATTAATGTTGCTAACAGAGAGAACCAAGCCCTGGGAGAGAAAAAATTAATAACGAATGCCCAGGTTTCCTGGAAATACTTACAGTTTACTATCATACAGTCTCCGAGTGGAGAGGGAAGAGGAAGCTATATACAGGTTGGCTGGTAAATAACAAAACTCGTGCAAACTACACCATTTCTGCTATAATTCACAATTTTAAATGGAATAATTACTTGAGGAAGGAGAATGACGATCGGAAAAAGATGTAAAGAGAGCAACGGGTTCAAAACGTTACCTAACATTGCAGTGCAATGCAATTCTCTTTGTTTTGGTTATCAATGTCAGCTACTACTACTTGTGTCACTATACATGCTCCTCAAAAACACCATACACCAGACCCGGTTTTGTCCAGTCAAATTCCTAGTCATGTTAGAGTATATACTGATTCTCAAAGCTAGTAGCGTCTATTTGACATCACCGGTCCGGATAGCTGTAGGTAAAATTCTTTCTGATTCAAATTTCTTTTTCTCATTTTCAATTTTCTTCATTTCAAGCTCTAGCTGCTTGCAGTTTTCTTCATGGGCTTTGTTGAACATCCTGGTAAAGTTGAGCAAAGTTGACGCAACTGCAGAAAATTCAAAATAATTACAATAATAAACAGTGTGGAAGTACAAGTAGAGGCATCAATATTGTTCAACAATTGGGGGTTGCACCTATTCTTCCCATAAAAGGAATCGCAGTAAGCCTTGCATACCCTTCCAGAATAGACTTAAATGAATTTGTATTGAGCGGAATTATCAGTTTTAAGTTTCAGAATGCAGCATCCAGTTAAAGTTCGGAAGCTAAATATAAAGGTAGTTATTATAAAACATTAACACTCACGTATATGCAGCCGAGTGAAGAATCCATTCTTACTTTTAGGAAGGTACAATTTTAGTGAAGTACAAGCTAAAAATAGTAAGCATAAGCCAAATAGAGGGTGCCACTTAAATTAGCTATGAAGAAAGAGAACCATAATTCAGTCACACACCTTGCTCAAGTGAGCAACGAGATGGATCTTCACCAAAATAGAGAATCAATGCATCCACGTTTCTACCCTGTAAATATACAATCTAAAAGTAAATCATAACCTTTATATTGTTTTAAAAGATCTAATGTATTGTAGAAAGCCTACCACGCTAGAATATAGTGAAGCCAATGAACGCACTTCAGCTTCAGCAGAACCAAGGAACTCTTTCAATTTCTGTGGTAATAAAAACAAGTTAAAGACCAACATTTACTACAGCATTCTGCAAACAAAAACGTTAGTCGCAATTTTAATCTTTCTCACGTTCTCCAAACTTGCAAACTCTCACATTAGATAAATCACAGAGGCATGATAGCCATAATTGCTATCTTGATAATAAGGTTGCACAATTTTTCATAGCTTCTGTGATTAAAAGTCTAATTTTCTTATATATGTAGAGATTAAAAGTCTAATTTTCTTATATATGTTATTGTGTGTGTATATGACACAGGCATGATCTCTCAATTCAGGATTTCCAATCCATTTTGATACTAAGGGTTTGCTTATTTACTATCTTTAAAAATAGTTTTCAATTTTTCATTTTTTCATCTTTTTCAGTTCTTAAAAACTAAAAATTGTATCGTAACTGTTTTGTTAAAGAGTTTTGAAAAACTGCTTTTGTTATTTTGTTTTTGAAAACATAAAAACCAAAACTGATAAAAAATATTTTTTATTTTCATTAATATTATTCACGTTTTCACCAATAATTACACTACACCACCCTTATCAAACTCGTTTTCCAAGTTTCCCCGAGACTTTTCATCAAAGTCAATGTCTTCCTTTTTTGTCTAAAACAATTCTCAACTAGAGTTCTCAAACGACTTTTTCTCTAATTTATTTTCAAAATTAATCTCTAAAACTGTTTTTAGAAACTAAAAATCAAAATTCAAACAAGCCCTAAGTAAAATCTCCATTTTGGCTATTTTGCAGTCAAGCCTCAAAATGTCTGCCACAGAATGGGACTCCAAGATTATGGTCTTCTTTTACAGATATGATTGAAATTCCATTGACTTTAATTAATTTAGATATATAGACTCTTCATGAATAAGTAAAAGAATTTTATTTTTTCTGTCAAAATATGAACCTTGAAGCAGTGAAAATGAACAAGGGAAATTTATAAAAAGGAAGCACAGAGTTGCTGAATCAACTATAGTAGAGGTAAAGGCATGATGCTTATACCTTGCGGAAAGTTTCTGATATAGGCCCATCATTTTCAGCGGTTGATAATTCCTCGACTACTTTTTCTAATCCTTTGTTTATAGCTTGCATCTCCTCTGCCAAAATCTTCAATTGGATCTAGGTCAAAGTATTTAAGTCAATGTTAGTACAATGCCTATCATCATACTGAATAGAAGAGTCTCAGAGAAGTCCAAAACCTTTGCTGCTGGCTCTAGATCAGAAAGATCATTGGAGAAGTCTAAAACTTCCGGTAGTTTGTCAACTAGCACCTATGTGTACGCACAGTATGAGATTAATGCATCAGATGTGAAAATTCATGAGAAGAAGAAAAAAGCACAATTTTTGCTCCCCTCTAAACCATAGCACAGAAGAAACTCATAATCCTTTTACAAAATAAAAAAGAAAGAGAAAACAAAAAGGAATAAACTGCAATATGTACCTTACAAAGATAATGCATGAGAGTCATCTTCTTGTCCCGTGCACGTGTCTCAGTGAGTTTAAGAAGGCTATCCAATCTGAATCCAATAGCAGAACCTGAAAAAAGATTGGAGAATATAAACATAGGAGATTGATAAAATGAAATAAATAAGAAGTAAAAATCTAAAGCAATAGTAAAAAATTATGCAATTAAGTTTTCAACACGTCTAGAAAAAGACCAAGTTTCCAGTGGAACTCATTCATCATATGTCTATCTACATTTATTAATATTTACAAATTATCAAAGGACTAATAACCAACATACAATCCCCTTGATTTATTTTGATTTTATTTAGACTAATAAAAAAAAAGGGTATCTATATTCTATCACCTAACAATGATTAATGTTTCAGTGTGGTGCTTATATCCAAGGAGAGCCAAAATACGAAAAAAAAGTTTCAGAATCAAAATTTTGATTAGGTCTGGGGCATAAGAAATGCATTCATCTAATTTAGTTTACTGTTCACTAAACCGGTGTTAACTGGATTGCTAGTTGAGGTAGTAACAACATCAGTGCACATCTTGTTCTCCATATTAAAATGTCTAATATGGATGATTAATAAATAAATAATTTATATCTTTTGGGTGCAGAATAGTTTTTTTTTTTTTTTTTTTTTTTGTAATTGAAGAATAAACAAAGGAAGAATAGGCTTGCCCTCCTAGAAAAAAAAAAGTATGCAAAAGTGTTTTACTATCACCAGCTGGTTGGGGGAACAATAAAGTAACATAAAGGTAAAGAAAACAAATAAGGGATACTAGCACATACAAATCACACTAAATGAAGTCTGCCTAATGATCGAGTACCCTGTACAGAGGCCATAAATTACAGATATTTCTAATTTGTGTTACAAACTTGAATGGTTCATGTTGCATCTATCAGCTATGTATATTTGTTTAAACATACCCCTGGCAGTTCCTTGATTCAAAGCATTTCCTAAAGAAAGTATTGTTTGCATAATTCTCTTCAATTTTACAGAATTTCTGATCTGAAAAAAGAACCAAATCAACATCCAAAATGTTATTAAAAAAGGAGATAGAGAGATAGAGAGAGAGAGTAAGAAACCATGTTGCAAAAAGAGGTTTCAGTAAAGAGGAAGAATCATGCCTCTTCTGAAGCAGCATTCACAACACTCAGGCTCTTTCTAAGGTCAGAAACCTACATAAAAAGTATTAACAGGGTCAAACTGGAAATAGGTTTTTAAGTCCATTTTTTCCTAGTAAAGATCCATGAAAAAAGCAATATATCAACCTGAGAGCGAAATTGAATCTTGAATGAAAATACTCTGAGCTTGGATTCCACCCGTGGTACTTTCATCAATTCCATTAAGAACTGTAATGAAGAATTTATGAATATATACTTCAGATTCATGCCAAGAGATGATAGAAATGCAGTTTCCACCATTGAAGATAGCCATTACAGTTAAAACTGTACAAGCAATGCTAAAATTTATAAATATTCATACATCTTGTACTAGCAGAAGAGATCCAAAATATAGGCACTAACACAAAAATAAGGAAACCCTATGTACCTGTTCACATCTTCCTAACTTCTCCTTTTCCCCATTATAACCCTGGAAAAGAAAGTGGAGACTCATTATAAGTTGAACTCAGCATAATTTTTAACCGTAATCAATCTTCCAACCTTGAGTAATTCCATCTCCTCTTTTGTTGGACAAAACTTGATGAGATTCTCAACCTGATCAGTGTCCATTGCTGACTCTTCCAGTGCTAGCACTGAGCTCTGCCGATAAATATGACACAGAAAATTGGTTAAGGAAATTGTTAAAATTCTACAAATATTTCATATAAAACCAGGACTCTTCGTCGCTTTATATATTGCAGAATCAAAGCACAGAATAACTTTTCCATACATCTTTCCCACAATAAAATAACCATTCCACTCCAGTTAATTTACTAATGTTAATCCTCATTTAGAGTAAACTTGAAAAATAGAGATTCTATGGTAGATTTTATTTTTTTACTCATTCAAAATTTACTATTTTTAATTTTTAATAAATGCACTTAAAACTTTGCTTCATAGAACTTACAAAATCATTATAAAAATTTTAGAATATCTTCTACTTTGAAAACACAAAAAATAAAACATGCCTTAGTATGCTACAGGAATACAATTTTGAAAAAAAAAGTGCTTACTTTGAAAATATAGATCTTCATTCATTTCAAAGAGAGTTGAACCAATTTCCAATAGACAGGTAATACCATTCAAGTGAAGAAAAAATAAACTAAAAACACTAATGAAAACCAAGAACAAGATGATAAGGACAAGTATACTGTCCTCTTTATAGTTATGCTATAAAAATGATGCCAGCATTCATAGTTTTCAAAGAAAACAAATCACTAATAAATTCTAGGTAGACTCTGAATCAAAATGAACAAAGCTATAATTCAATTGTCAATAGAATCATAGATCCCTTATTAACTATGACTTCATCTAATGGTACTTGGTTTTCTTTACTACATTATTAAAGACCATAAATGTATATATCAATCTTACCATTAAATCATGCAATGGCACTTTGACTTGTGAAAGCATGATTTCACAATTATATGCTCGCCTATGCTCAATCTGCAAGGAGTGATAAAATCAATATAAATCAAAACCAAAAGGATTATAATTTTGTTGTGGCCACAAAATATAAATTATATAAATAGAACCTACTTTAGGAACTACTTCACACAGATAAACAGCAAATAAATACTCATTATTTCCAACTTTGCATCATACTAGTGAACTCTTATAGTTGTATAATATATGAAAGGGAGAAATTATCACAGATACTAGTTTTTTTAAGATGGGTTGATGTTATAACAGTATCGTTCTAAAATATTATTCCAAAGTATCTTTATGAACATTAACGTTCATTCTTCAGTTTGTCAACTAAACTCTAAAGTTTCCTTCAATGAATAGTTGATAGATGTTGCCATTTACAATTTTATGGTTGCATAGAATCAATATAAAATGACAACCACTGGTTATAAGTACTAGTTACTATCACAGTTTCCTAGTAATTATGTTTTTGCATTTTCCCATCATACTCAGATATAGACAAGTAGATTATGTAAATATCCATAAACATTCTTAGTGGTACTGCAAACTAAAAATAATTACCAAAAATAATTACCAGTTGCACTTTTTCAGATTTAGGCCCAGCTGAGCTTTGGACATTTGACTTTTTGGCAAGTCCTGGACTTGGGACTGCTGCTGAGAAGAGATGCTCAAGCTCTGAAATATCAATCTCTGGGGCCCTTATTAACATAATAAAAGGAGAGGGCGGTGAGACACTATAATAATAGAAGGATATTATCTTATAAGAAATGAAATACTGTAGCCAATCAACATTACTTGGAAGCTTCACCAGATTTTTGTGTCTCAGCCCACAAACTTCCTTGCACAGCTCTAGATAGTTTCAACCAATGCAATGGCTTCAACTTTTTTGTGTTATTCTTTGAGTTAATTGTACGTGATAAACTTCGTCCCTTTAAGCTAGATTGAGGTCCTGTTGTGCCTGACACATTATTTCCATCAGCATTCACAGAAAGAGACCCTGGAAAAGAACTGTCTGGTTTTAGACCTCCTTTACCAGAGGGAATTGGAGGAGGGGGAGGAGTTGGTGCTCCAGGAGGAGGGGGAGCAGCTGGTGCTGTAGGAGGAGGGGGAGGAGCCGGTGCTGTAGGAGGAGCGGGAGGAGCTGGTGCTGCAGGAGGAGGGGGAGGAGCAGATACTACAAGAGAAGGGGGGGGAGCAGGTGCTGCAAGAGGAGGTGGAGAAGCTGAAGATTTTTGCAATGATGAATTAGTGTCATTTGAGTTAAGTGCTGCGTTTGAAAGTGGTGGTGGAGGTGGAGTTGGTATTATAGTAGAACCTTGTAGCTCTTCTTTTAGAGAAGGGGGAGGAGAGGGTCCATCCCTAACCTGTGGTTCCACATTTATATGTGATAAAGGAGGAGGGAAGGGTTCAACTTTAACATGTAGTTCTTCCTTTGGAGGAGGAGGTTTAACTCGAACTTGTCTATGATCATTTAGTGGAGGAGTGGGAGGAGGAGGAGGTGGAGTTGGAGGTTGTGAAGGGGAAGACTCCAGTCTTGTACTAATAGGAGGAATCTCCGTCACATTTTTGGAAGAAAGTGAAGGCGATGACTGAGTTGAAGTAATTGTTGAAGCTGAAAGATGGGAAATGGTGTCAGCTGATGACTGAGTTGAATGACTTTTGTCTTGTGATTGTTGTTTTGATTGCAAAGGCAAAACATAAGAAGGGGGAGATTTTGATTGACGAGGAGAATCATGAGCTTCTTTAGCACTAGAAGACTCCAGTCTTGTTCTAATAGGAGGAATCTCATTCACATTTTTGGAAGAAGGTGAAGGAGTTGACTGAATTGAAGTAATTGTTGAAGCTGAAAGATGGGAACTGGTGTCAATTGGTGACTGATTTAAATGATTTTTGTCTTGTGATTGGTGTTTTGATTGCAAAGGCAGAACATAAGAAGGGGGAGATTCTGATTGGCGAGGAGAATCATGAGCTTCTTTAGCACCAGAGGATTGAGGCCGCAAAGGCGGTGTTCGAGGAGAAAAAGAAGTATCAATAGAAGATAAGGCATGATTGGGTGCCCGCAGTTTTATGTCAAGATTTGTAGGTCCTATTGGACATTTATTGGATTCCATGGTCCTTTCAGAAGATTTGGATGTCTCTTGAAGGATAGTGTTAGATGTTCTAGGTTGTAGCAAAACACCCTCGACCTTGTTGGTCTTGCCCTCTTTTCTACTCATATCATCTGGTGGGGATCTCTTGGTTGAGAATGAAGATTGTACCTCTTCATTCAAATTCCTCAGAGGCGTTCTAAGACCTTTTTCATCCAACCTGTCATTCATAGTTGAAGAACTTATCAGTTGGAGAGCATTTAGTGCAGCATCTGCCTTGGGGTTCATCCAGTCTACATGGTTAAAGATCTCTTGAACCTTGGCAAATGCTTCCATTGGCAGTCCTTCCTTCTCCTCAAAGCATGAGGTACCATCGGCAATAACTGCTGCAGCAGCATCCATCTCTGAGAAAAGGATCTTAATACAAACATAAACCACAAAAATAAATTCAATGTTAGGAATGTACAATCAAAAGCATCATGATTATAGTCCAAAACAAGTTGTACCTCAGCTCTAAAATCTTTTGGAAAGTGATCTTTAGCATCCCATAAAATGTCAACTTCATCCCGGTTAAGCATCAAAATATTAGATCTCACAAAGGCTGTGTTAAACATGACTCGGAACATCATCCTTTCACACTTCATGTCACCATTAAAGTTAATAGTCTCAATGACAACATCACCTTGAATTTGGCAATTGATATCAATTTTAATGAGTTCACACTCTCCCTGAAAATTGCATAACAATTACACAAGTTATTATAACAGATTCCAAATGCAACTTGCTGGAAAGAGTAAGTTGATACATAATCTAGTAGAACAGTAAAAGTTTAATCAAGAAAAAATATTTATTAAAATTTAAAAAGCACGACCCCATTCTGAACTCAGTTTTCTAAGGCGTAGATGCATATGGTGTATTGAAATTTGACTAGGATCTCTTAAATGCTGAACATAGATTTACAAACTTATATCCCCTTCCTTCTTGTAAGTATTCCCCCCTCCCCCTTTTTCCTTTTTACATTTTTTGGATTATTGGTGCAAGTGCAGCCTCTCGATCACACCTAAGACTTATCTTAAATGTAGCTCCCATATTTGTCAAGGAAGAATGAATAACCAATGCTGTTCAACAGTATCCTACATACATATGTTCCAAGGTTCAATTCAAGCTACCAAAACATAATTATTAAGCTCCATTTGATAACTAGAAGAACAAGTTTGAGAAACAATTTAATGGTTTATAATCATTTAAAGTGTAAACAATATAGTACAAGACAATTTATAAAGCATTATATAAGTCAAAATGGCCTTAAATGCATTGAAGGAGGAAAAGAAAAGAGAGAGAGAGAGAGAGATTTTACTGTTACAGATTTGCCACAATTTATGAGATTGCAAGTAATCTCAAGTACCTAGCTACAATATTTTTCAGCAATTTTTGGCAAAATAACAGTAACAACAGTCTTTTATCGCTAAAAACGATTAATTTATCAGCCCAGTTGTCAGGATAATAGTTTTCAAGATAAATGTAATCAGTGCATGGCTCCGATAAAGTACAGGCTCCACAATAACATCAACAAACTGTAAATCTCAAAAACAGGAGGCACAAGAATTCAGAGCAAGCCATCTGAAAAGCGTGAGGTAAATTCACATACCTGCTTATAGGCCCGGACATTTTTGCTTCTCTTTGGCGTTGAGTACAACATTTTTGGATTTTTATCAGCACTAACCGGATCCTGTCCATAAATTCTAAACACGGGATGACAACCACCTTCACTGTCAAAGTTTGGGAAGAGTCTGAGAATGACGCAGTCCAACATAAGTGCCCGGTCCAGTGGAGGCCAATCTAAGGCCACATTCCTCCTGGAAACATACAGAAGATACCTCAGTTGGGAAGGGATAGGATTCAACGGTGACAGCAAATGCAAAAGCTCGTGTGGAGCCTGTCTGTAAACCATTTCAAGAGTCCTCTGCTCCCCAGTATAAGCCTTTCTATAAATCAACAATGCAGCCAACATAAAAGCCAAAACAGGCCAACCACCACGCTCACAATGCATCAACAACACATTCTGTTGCCCAAGCGAGAGCCAGCTTTCACCAGACCGCAAAAAGTGGTGGATGAGCTCCATTTTAAGCACGGGAACACCTTCGTAGTGCCGAGGATAGTCCATGATAGTAATGTCATACTCAGACATGATATTTGCCATCTGACTCTGGGTATGTTCCTCGCGAAAATTGAAAATCAGAATCGAAGCATCTGGCAAGTCCTCCCTAAGTTGACCAACTACCCCATCCATATACACTTTGTAATTCTCTTCTTTCCAAGCATCCGTGGTGAAGCAGTAATCAAAAACTACATTCATGGTGGATCTTAATTGTTAATTCCAACAACAATCACTAACTACTAACTCCTAATGATAATAACAAGTTAAAGTCATTTCAAATTAAACAAATTAGTCTCTTTCAAATTCAATTCACGTGTCATTGCAGCATTTCCAAGCAATCAAACAGACACCTAATGTTCCCTAAGTCATATATTTTCAATTGCAAAATCACTTTTCACAAATTCAGAACAAGAAAACCAGAGAAAGTACCGTAAACTCTCTCGCAGATCTCAAGGAGGCCATCTGGAGGCTTGCGGAAGAACAATTTGCGGAGCATAGCCACGTCCGCGAAGCTTCAGATTCAGGCTTCACTAACCCTATCGCACGCGATGGATTCCAGAACCACAGATTCTCATTCAGCAGAGGCTGACGTAGCGTCACGATTTGCCTTAAGCTTTACGGCACAAATTGGCGAAGCAGCGGTTTCGCGTAAAAATACGAGAATGAAAGAAACGAGAGTTTGGATGGATTTATCGTCGCTTCTGTTTCTCAGTGAAAAGAAAAGGAAAGGTTTGTGGGGTAGATGGGTCCATTCGTTTTATTTTTCGTATGTAGCTGAAAAACGTGACTGCAGCTGAGGTTACCAACCGACTCCCAGTGACCGGTTGGTGACGTGGACACCATTTCGTGGGACACGTGACCGTGATATCCCTGACGGGTAATTTAATTATTGTGATTATCCATGTTTGGAAAATTTTCTCGTTGTGTAACTTGAGTTCCCTCCTTCCATAAGACACGTGTCCCCATCATTGCATGATAAGTGTTCGTTAGTTGTTGGCGCTGGGATGTATATATGTCGGATTTCGTTTTACGTGTCTCGGCCTACACTATCACATAAAAAACAAATTCTCGATTGCATTATTATTATGTTAATTTTTTTATAACTTGTTAAATTTGTTTCATTTATTTTACGAGTTAATAGGTATCCACATTTAGCATAAAATATTTTCATTATGGTAGTGGTTGCAAAATTGATGAATTTTAAATTTAGTCCTCTTAATTTTGCTTATACGTTTTATTGTCTTTAACTTATTAATTATTTTGCTCAACAAGCATTAACTAGCCCATTCCTAACAAAATGCCGGAAAAATATGATAAGTTATCTTTCGTAATATAATCTAAAATAATAATAATAATAATAATAATAATAATAATAATAATAATAATAATAATAATAATACAGTAATAACTACAATAATGATATACTTTAAAATATTGTTGTTGGTATCTTGAAAATAAATCATTCACGTATTCTATTATTTTTAAAGAAATACTCACGGCGAGAATACTATAACTATTTGAGGTTTATTTATAAAAAATATTGAATGTTTTTTAATATATCAATATTTTGTTCATTTATTATTTTTGGTTATTTATAGTAATTGTACTTAAAATGCGAGTTAGTTCATAACTTCGGTAATCATAATTAATTATTAGTGATATGTCATTAATTGATAAGCCAAAGCAAAATATCAACGGGATGCATTTTATTTATACATATATTTATTTTTTTAGAGTATATTTGAATGTGAGCTTTCATCAAAACTTTATGCTTTATTAAGGAAAAAGGACATTAAAATTAAAAAAAATGAATATTTGATTTAATAAAAGAAACATAAATTAGTAAAAAGAGAAAAGCTCATTTAAAATAAATTTTTTAAAGGGTTAAATATGCACTTCACTATCATTTAAAGGGTTAAACATAAGATGACAAAACAAGTTAGTCATGTTTTAGCCTGCCAAAACGAGTTGAGACAAGCTGACATGCTATAGTCATGACGAGTTGTAGACCTTTTTTCATCATAATTTTTTTAAATCAATTTTTTTAATAAATTTAATAATAATATTATCATTTGTTTGTCAATAATTTAATATATATATTTCAAATTAATAATATAAATCAACACATTATTTTAAGAAATTATAATTTAGAATAATAATAAAATTTATATAATAATAAATAATAACAAATATATATAAATAACATCAAAACTTGTAAAATTTATATTTTTTATATTGAAAAATTCAAATACCTATATCTTTTTGTTTAATAAATCTTCACATTATTCTTCCCTTAAATAATTTTTACACCTTTAATTTAAGTCATAAGGATAAAAAAAATGAATGCTCAAGGAAAAGATGACGAGCAACAAGAACAAGGAAAAGAGGAACTTGAGTTTGAGTTATAGGAGAATATTTTTTATAACTAGTGAGGGTGAAACTTTTTTTAATTCTCTTTTTACAAAACTTTAGTGATTAGATCAGTTTTAAAGATTTTTCCATCAGCTGCAATAAGAGGCTTCTTTCTTCCAAAATTCTTTGGGAAGTATGTTTGGATTCATCATAGACTTCTAGGCTCCTGTGTCAAGATAAACTATGACTTAATTGTCTTTTCATACTTCGAAGAAAGAAGCTGGACTTCAAAGCATGGTTGAGGAGGAGAGACATTTACAGGGTTGATTTCTTGGAAAGAAAATAGTGGAACAATATATGTTTCTAATTCTGCATCGGAATAGTCAGATTCTGTCTCATCAGAAGAGATAGGGAAGACAAAGATTGTTACTTCATCTGCAGAGTTTTGTTTTGAGTAGAGAGACTTTATATTATTATGGTCATTAAGCTTGAGGATAAAGATATGACTCTTTCAGCTTTGTGCGGACAGTTCCTTGAATAGGGTATTTTACATTTAATTTCAAGACAGAGCTTTTGAAAGGCTTTGTTGAACTTACTTTTCTAAGTCATGATGTCAGAAAAACATTCATATTGTATGCAAAGCTTATCAATAACTTCTAGGATCATCTGATGGATTTGACTCATAGTCAAGGTGGTGAAGTCCTTTTGGATAGTCATTGTCATCCTGTTTAAGTTGTATCTCAGCAGGAAGGGATGCGACATAAGTGTTCTTCAGGCTAGGATCATTGAGTCTATTAAGATGGTAGAATCGCTTGTTCATTCGGTGGTAGTGTCTCTCAAGGTCTTTGATCTTAACTGAACAACATCTTATTTCGAAAAATTCTTGCCTGAGCTTTTTATCAATTATTGAGCTATCTCATATGGATTCTTCATTTAAGGCTCTTAATACTGTTGAAGTTTGTCCTAGTTCATGGAACTAGTTCTGTCTAACAACTTCGAGGTTATGATATCATTCTTTCAAAGTTCTAGTCATTCTGCAACAGAATTCTTCAATGACCTTGTATCAATAGTGTGAGTCCCTCCACATTGGTACATCCCCTTGCCGATCAACCTTCGACTTTGATATCACTTGTTGGATCTTTCGAAGGGAGATTCACAGGGGAGAAACACACCAATGAGACATGAGTCCAACCCACATAAGAGATTGACACCACTCTCAACCCAAAACCTTAAAGCACTAGATTATGTGTCATACTTACATATATGTTGCTTAACTTTCTCATTCTTACTCAATGTGAGACTTAACTCACACTTGGATATGCAACAGGAGTATTCGTAAGAGTTGGAGTAGGACAATTTTCTAGTCATCTGAGAGTATAAATCTTGAGAGTCTTGGAAAATTAAGTCAAATAGGTCTTGTTTTTTAGGTGAAGGTTGATTGTAGACCCCTAATCTTATCCCGCCTCGCAATAAATCCATAAATCCTCCGTTTCAAAAATGGATAAGACTTCATTAGGTCCCTAATAGCATTCACTAGGCTCCATTTAAGAATATGAGAGATTTTTGAAAAAAAAATAAAAAAATCTGAAAAAATGGGACGGCCGTCCCACTTTCCCAGACGGTCATCCCACCTTCATTTAACCTTGGGACGACCATCCCATTTTTCTAGGCGGCCGTCCCACCTGACAAATGCCCAGATGGCCATCCCGGCCTGCCTAACGTGAATTTCTATAAATAGGGGCTCATTTTCACCATTTTCTACACACTCTTTTCTCACCTTAGAAGGCATTTTAAGACCTCTAGGTGACTCTGAGCATTATTTCGGAGTTTCAGTGATCTTTCAGACACTCATGAGTTGATTTTTCTTATTTTTGGCCGAGGTAGGAGCGTCTTTATAGGGCGAGGGGATTGCCAAAAAGCATCATCAAGTTTCAAGATTTTATAAAAGCTCGCTTCGAAGGTTCTTCTTCAATCCCTTTTCTATTATCATTTTTCTCTCTTTGCATTAGAATTCTAGGTCATGTAGATATTTAAATACTGCAAGTAGATGAATAAATAGGCTAAAAGCATAATCTCTAGGATCTTTATTTTTTGAATTAATCTATCATAGGGAACCCAAAAGGGACGTTGTGGGGTACTAATGTAACATCTCACTTAATGTAAAAGATAAACATTATCTTATCTTCAAAGATAAACCTTATCAAAATCATAATTACTGTATTTATGATTACGTAATTAAATAAATAAAAAGAAAAAAAATTTGCTATAAAATGGGAAGGGGGGAAGGATCCGTAGGGAGAAAGAGAAAGGGAGAGAGAGAAAGGAAGAAAGAGAAAGGGAGAGAGAAAGAAAGAGAGAGAAAGGGAGAGAGAGAAAGGAAGAGAGAGAAAGGAAGAGAGAGAGAAAGAGAAAGAAAGAGAGAGGGAGGAAGAGAAAGAGAAAAAAAAATTGTCTCGCAAAATTTTGGTACTTCATCCGCAACTCTTAAAGGAGGGGAGGAGAATATTATTATTAAATCTATTTTATTTGCTTATAGTTGTGGAGTGAGGTGTCCCTAACCTCATTCTATTTATTTAGTTATTTATTTATTTATCTCTAATAATGTACTGATCCTCTTTATTTATTTATTTTATCTCCAGTCTTGCACCGGTCCTATTTTAATTATCTCCAGTTATGTACTCGTCCTCGTTTGTTTATTTTATTTTATCTCCAGGTCTTACATTGATCCTATTTTAATTATCTCCAGTTACATATTGGTCATGTTTGTTTACTTTATTTTATCTCTAGTAATGCAATGATCCTATTCATTAATTTATAGTTATATTATTCAATTATAATAATATCTATTTGTGAAAATTTGATGATATTGTAGATGGAGGTTGGACCTTGAGGATTTAAATGAGTAAATATCACTGTGAGAGTGATTAAAATTGAGCTCATTTATCCCGACTAGTCACTACAAATTTAATTTAAATCTTCATAAAATAGAATGTGTTGAGAAAGTTGAAACATATATATCTATATATTATAAGATTGTATTATTGTAAATGATAAATGTTCTCACTCCCTATTGTGATCTTTTGTGCATGTTTTATTTAAACACCAACTTAAGTAGATGGAGGCGCCAAATATTCCAAATCCCTT